GGATTTTGCTTGACTGCGGAGGAAGATTTTACCATGTGACTCACTTATCTGATTCATCAGATCGGCTTGCCGTAACACATCTTTACCAAGTCTAACAAAGTCAGCTGTAAAAATGTTAACATTGCGGGTAACTATAATATCTATAATCAAGCATTTTTATTTATTCTGGTTATGGCTAATCCCTATCCTTTTGTAGTCATTAATTCAAGACTTCCATAAACAATATCAATAATTGTTGAAAAAGATCACAGATTATTATTTAGAGGACATCTCCACTGAAACTGAGGACTAGATAGTTATGTCGAATTTTTCATAATTTATTCTTATACATCAATGTTTTCAGTTTTATAAACTTGAAAAAAAAAATATATGATTTTGGAAGTTCTCAACTTCAAAATAAATTGAACAACAAATTGAAATGAAAATGCTCAGGAATATATGAAAAGGTCTTTGTAATATTAAACGTACCTTAAGACAATCATGTTCTCTTTTGTTAAAGATGAATTCAAAGATGTTGTTATGGCAAGTTGATCTGATGAATCAGATAAGTAAGTCACATGATAAAATCTTCCTCCGCGGTTAATATTAAACAAACCCATGATCGGCACTAATTTTAGTTCAGTAATACAGATATTAATTTAGTAGCATGTCGCAAAATATGTGACAAAATATTGTTCTTCATAGTATAATAATTTATATAGAAGCGTGTCGTTTTTCTTGCGACGCAAAAAATATACAAGTAGCTCTTCCTCCATCGTCAAATCTTCATGTTGTCATGTAATATTATCCATGTTGTGAAATAAAATAATACTGAGCACAGCAGAAAAATTATCCAATACATCAATTATATTATTCTATCGATCTTTTATGCAGACTGATTTTGTTTAATATCGAGTTTGCAGCATCTATCAGTTTCCAGTAGTTGCTATGAGTCTAAAAAGCTCATATTATGCACGTATTTGATACACGTGATCAATTCTCTGTATCACCACACGCGAAAAACGTCAATTAACAATAGGCTAAGATGTCTTTGTCATTCTTCATTGCATTATCATGTCTGCAAGTTATTATTATTCCAGTTTTCCGTTTTCAGTAGAACTTTAACCTACATAATCCACTCTTTTTTTCTTTCATCAAATTAATAATTAAAGAATTTTGATACAGGTTCGGCAAATACTTAACGAGGAGGGCCTTGTAAAGATGAGCATTTCTTTGGAATATTATGCCAAGTTCCCAACCGACAAAAAACTGTTCAAATTTCAAGTATGAAACCGCGTGTGGTCACACATTATTGCTGTTACTTTGAACCCTGAATCGAACTTTAAGGGCGTGACCTAAAATTGGAGGGGGATGGTGAGGAAACGAAAAAAGGTTTCCAAAAAGTGCCATCGTTCAGATTTGCTCAAAACAAAAAGTAATAATAACGGCATGCGTATTGCTTGAACAGGATTGCAATATAGTCGTGTCGGCAATTGAGTCGAACGAAAAGAATATACCATCAAATTACCCGGATAAATAGAGAATAGACAATTACAAATCAAACACAAAATATCGCTTAAATAGCCACCACATATCCACATTGAATATTGGTTAAAGGATAATTTCGTGATTTCATTTCTTTAGAATAGGCATTACAACATGATTTCCCTTAAAGTGGGGAAGTTCAACAAGTTGGTTCCGAAACTTTACAGCAAAGTGAATTAGTAGAAAGGGGAAGGGTATGAATCAGAATAAAACTTACAATAAATAACATAATTTAAGAATAGTAAAATATTCCTAAGGGTTTGGGTTTAAATCACCAATTTGTATAAAAAAAACCCGAGTATATATCAACGAAAGAGAAAAATAAACATCCGTAATCCAAGAATAAAAAGGATATCCGTGTTAAATAGGCTTCGGATAATTCATACAGAAATGAGTGAAATGAGAGAAGGAGAACCTATATATGTTGTTCCATGTATCTGAAAACAAGACACAGTATTCCAAGATTTATGACCATCAAACACCAACGTGTATAAGTGTTCGATTCACCATCATGCACATAGCTTCACTTGGTTGGAGTTTGTACAGGGCCAGTACTATGATTGAAATTACATAAACGGTAAGATTCCGGACAATATGATAAATTAATATTAACCGTTTGCATACCTTCCATCGCCTCCTTGAGTTGGTTTTGCAATACGACCGAAGAATGGCTTTGCAGCTAGAAAATAGATTATATAAAAGAAACGATTAAGTATATCAAACTTTTATTGCAGAAAAAGGAATCTCTATTTAAACAGAAGACGTCTTACTATAAGGAAAACATTATATATCACAGGAAATAAGTAAAGGAAATGATAAAGTGGCAGTTGTTATTAGCAATTACAACATCGTTACCTGCAGCGACTTTGTTATGTTTAGCAGCACGATGGCTGCACAAACAAACCATCTTACCACTGTCAACTGGATCGAACTCCGTACAGCCACAACCTTCTTCAGAGCATTCTTCACGATCCTTCCCGTCACAGTCTTTCATTTTGGTCAGTTCAAAGGATGCTCGAGATGTGATAATGATTGTACAGGCAATAGCCTCTTTTTTTTTATTGTGGCAGGACCTGGTTTTAGGAGAGTTCCAAAGAGTTCCGTAGAAAACCTTTCCTACCCTCTTTTGATGTTACACAGATATGACCAACTTTGTCGTGGTTGACATTGCTACTATATACTAGTCTTTAACTGTCACTGAACGAATAAGCTAAAGAATGCAATAATAATAAATAGTAGAGTTAAGATCAATCTGCCAAATAACACCTTCACAGTATTGAGAATCAGAGCATCTTCTTCCTCAAATTGTTATAGATTTCAATGAATAATTATGATTAATATCTTTTCTTTTCTTTTCTTTTGTTGGTCTATCCGTTCTATATTATTTTCTCATAAGTACTAGTCTAGTGTATGTTGGGACTATTTGCAAATGTTTATTTTAATCAACAAATACATAAACACGATATTTTTCAGCCAACTAGCTTTTCATGAGAAGTATTGCAATTCTAAGCCAACTGATTGGATAGGAGACAACCTTGACCGTAAATCAGCTACCAATCCTAAACTGAACAACAATTTCCCATATCGACCTTCCCAAAGAAACTTTATCCCCTATGAATCGAATAAGAATAAGCAAATCTCCCTAATCTCAACAGCATAATCAGCTTCCCCCTGTCTACTCACCTTGGCCACACCGAAAGTTGCCTTCACAATACCTTGCATATCGTCTTTGGCTTTTCCATCTCCCACGCTGTTCTCAATTTCTCTCTTTGTTCGTTGCCACCATTCACATCCAATCATCAAATCGCTCTCATAGCTGAACATGTTGAAATCAAATCTGGGGCATAGCGCCAGGGTGTCAGAAACTTGTGCTGCAAAAGCAGCTGACATATGTCCCATAATTGGGTTAAAGAGATAAGTAAAAGTAAGTGGTGATTGCATTGGGTGTTGTGGAAGGGTACGATAGCGTAACCCTGTAGATATTCCTCCACTACGCTCACTTGCTCCATAGTATATTTCTGTTCCAACAGTCCATTGCCCTTTTAATCCTTCTACCATGTCGTTGTCAAATTCTTCCGACTCGTCTGATGAGTGATTATGGAATTCTGCCAATCTACTTGGAGATTGTTTTTGCGATTTGTTCTTGGGTGTAGAAGCGTTATCTGTGACACTTCCATTATCGGATTGAGCGTCTTTCGCGACTGATGCACCGTCATCTGCCAGATGGTAGAGTCCACGTAAACCGATAAGAGAACGGTTGGTAGAATAAAAGGCTTCTGTGCACCATTTCCCTGCATCATACTGTATCTCAGCAGTTACCTATTTGATATCTTGTGTGAGATACGTAAATCACGGGTTGGAAAAACTACAAGAAAAAAGAATTGTAACAAAGCATTACATGTGGGGCCCCTCTTCGTGTATGCTCGTTAATTCCCGTAAATACGAATTGTGACCAGGGGGATAACCTTTTTGAGTAAAGGATTTCTAATCGAGTGGTTGGAATGTGTAATCGGCTGTACAAAATATAATCTAAATTACATGTCGCATACTTTGCTCTCGACTACAAGACGCTCTTGGACGGTTTACTAAATAAGTGAACAAACCTTTGGACACGTATGGTTTCTTAACATCGTCCACTTCTTGCGGATGCGTGATTGGTTGATGATTGATATAAAATCGATCCACTAATTCTCCAAATCTCACTTTTGCACTTGGTTCAAGTATTAATGGCTGAGAAGTAAAAAGATAGCCAATGTATCCATTGAGTACAGGCAGAGCATTCATCGAATATGAGGTTTTAAAGAGTGGCGTCGGTATTTTTGATATTGTGAAATGTAAGCCATGTGGTATTTTGAAATCGAGTATCGCTAGCAATTATGTATGCATTGTGTATAGTATGTTTCAGATACACAATCTTTATAAGTAAGGAAAGAATCAAGTATAATTGGGATACACATAAATTTTATATACAAGCAGTAAAGCAGGAAAGGACTAGTTTTTGCATGACAACGACATTATCACACTCTAGCAATAAACTGATTACCTCTTGAAGCTGCACACAAATTTGAGTATCTATTGTCCTCGTTCCATCCAATTGTTTTGAAATATTGACGGAGACAGTATTCCATAAAATCCTGCATGTTTGAGTCTATGTTGCGTTTGCATGTTTGGGTTTTCAAAAAGTAACGTTCCCATAATAATAAAGATTTTGTTTGAAAATGTTTGCCGTGAATCACATGATTATCGATGATCTAGCTGATCAGCCAATAATAATACTGTAACGATATATTAATATCCACATTTTATTTAAATTTAAATAATTTAAAAAAAATAGATTCCGGTCATTTATTTAGATCATAAGCGTGCGCACGCTTTTTCTACCATTTTCTTAATGTTGAGTACACTTACTCCCCAGCTCACTGCGACAACCGTCATCTTATCCTTCACAAACTCGGAATTCGACTAGCAGGCAAGTATAACAGATGTAAGATTGAATCATTTTAATTGAATAAATACCTTGACACAGAAGTCACTCTTCTTACCTCAAGCCGACAAAATTCGATACTGTCTTGAGACGAAAGCAGAGGGTAAATCTCCTCGACAATATCTTCTGGAATCAACCGTTTTTCAAGAGCATCGAACAGATCCTGACGCTCGAAAAATTTCGATTTCACGGATTCAATAAGTGATTGGATGACCGGATACTATTGGAATAAAGTCAAGTTATTCTACGAGTGCAAGTGGTGATAGGAATGTTGACGACAAATCAATAAGTTACATACCAGTTGTCGAATTTTAGATTTTTTGCCCCCAGATAGTGTCAAAGCTTTAAAGCTTGACAATGTAATCACCAAGTAATTCACTACCTGTTCTCAAAAACATGTTTGAATATAGCTAGAAACATAAAGTAAATATCCGTACAATATCTATACCTCAGCGAAACAAGACAGTTGTGAGATATGTTTCCATGACAAACTTTCTATCGCATCATCAAGCAGTCTGGTAGGTACAACATCTGTAAAGAACATAAGTTACTATCTAAGAAAGAGACAATTGTTAATATCTCGATGTTCTGGCGACATACCTTCTAAACGCTGTATTAGTTTAGCGATACAGTCATCCAAGTTCTTCTTAACATCTGCAAAGCAATGATCGAGAATAAATATATAATCCGAAATTTATTCAACAAGCATTACCTCACCTTCAATTCCAGCTTCCTCATCTCTCAATAAGCAGTATATTTCTCCCAAATTTGCAAGGATTGTGGCAATAGAAATTTCTTCCTTGGTCAACTGAGAAACAGAACGTTTACAAGATCAGCGTCTTCCAAAATATTTGAAGTCTCTCAATAATACTTACACTCGTCTCTTTACAGCATGCCACAAGCATCTCGATATGCTTCCGAACTTTATCGACTGAAGCTCCAGAACAAATACATTTCAGTAGTCGTGGGATGATCTCAAAAGTTCTCAGCCATGTCACCTAGTATTCAATACCACATTGTTATCGTCTGATCTGTTTTAGTCAACCGCATGGCTAAGATAATAAACTGTTTAAGACATTTTACATCATGCTTGGGAGCGAATCGGGTGCTTTCTTCAACCGATGGTGTGCCTTTGGGGTTGAAATTCGACATGACATCAAAATCTCTGTTGTCACATTTGTCATTGATGCGGTCATCTGCGACAATGTCAGAAATTGAGTAATGTACTACCGATATAGTTTGAACCATCTATAATAAACATCATTTGTTTCATTACCCAAGTTATCCTCGTCTTCAAACTCGTCCAGATAGCCATTGATTTGTGCAAGAGAATTGGACACGTCAAACAGCTCAATTCGCATTAGCTCACGGTCGATAATGGCGTGTTGAATAGATTTCATCAATCTTTTCTCGAACTCTATAAACTCTTCCACCTTTCATGGGAATTTAATATAAATAAGCAACTATGACGATAAAATTACTAAACAAAATTTGATTACAATACCTTTGAATATGTCCCATTTTTGTATGCGAATACAATCATGTCTGGAGTCTAAGAAATTTATCATGAATCGTCAACTCAGTAACAACACTATCATAGAAAGTAATATACTTTTTGCACCCCGCAACATGAAAGTCTCTTGCTACCCAGAATGTCAAGTAAGCTGGGGGAGGGGTTGGGGTTGAGATGCGACTGTTGCGATGCAACAAACAAGTGATTCATCATGTAAATCATTATGATGGTTTCGTACCTCATCTGTATTGCTTTGATAAATATGCAGCGAATCGCATAATATTGACTGCGCAACTTCATAAAAGCCTAATGAGGTAGCCCGACTGAGGACAAAGTGACTGTTATGGCGTAATAGACACGTTTAGAGATAATTGTTAATTTATAAGCAAAGCTTACACTACTCGAAAATTAATTAATTACCCAAGCGTGTCCCATTGTACGTGCTTCACCTCCAATGATTTAAATAGTTGTATTGGTCGAAAGCATATTCCTACAAAGAAGGATGCCGAATTGAACTCAAGTTTTTGAATCATCAAAATCTAAAGGAAAAAAAATCAACTTACCCAACATCAAATATATGCGTATCAGCAGTAGGCTAAATTGAAAGTTGGAAGAACTATTTTCCAAAGCTGTTTCAAGAATCATCATTGCTTGGAAAAGGTAAATATTTGATCCTAAGAATTCAGAATAAAGTTTCTGTTGATTAAATAATTGAGACATCGCTTCAAAAGATCAAGTAAAAAAAAAAGGATAACTGACCACTCCTTTTGTGTAAGTCAACTAAAACATGAGTAGCAAGAACTGCAAAATCATCTCCATAATGCAATTCTGTCTCTTTCAGGTTTTCGCCTAATTGATTTAGCCAGTAGATTTGTAGAATGACCATGCATAGATTCTGTCGTGATTGCAGTATAGTTCATCGGTTCTTATACACCCACCCAATGGCAATGAGTCACAATATGCTTTCCACAACGTATTAGCGTATGATATCAACTGCTTTTCATCTAAAGTTGAGAGCAATCCCAAATATCGTTCGAATTTATAAATGTTTATCCATCGCTGGACATTGTTAATCTTGTCCTGGTTTATGGGTAAATCGAATAACATTATATTAACAATTATAGAGGCGAAAGCGTCTGTAAGGTGGAACTAATTGTTTTAACACACCTTGGTCTCTTGACTACTTTCGTCAACACTACTTTTAAAGTCACTGACAAGTTTCTCAGCAGCTTCCGCACTAAGTCCGTCTAAATAAGGCTGCAAGTCTTCAAAACAGCAAGCCTTTGAGGAGAACCTTGAGAAGTATTTCAAAATCAATGGTGACAAATCTTTCGAATCTAAAGAAAAAGAAAGACAATTTATGAGACCTATCGTTGTGCTCTATCCAAAAACGCAGCGGTTAATACATGCTGTTTTTTTTTCCATACTATATTTTTCAATCGATGCAATCTGTTTCTCGAGCCTGAGTTCTGCAAGAAAAGGTCCACGATGCAAATATTTTCGTGTCGGTTCGCTCTCCAGGCGTGAAAGCTCTTTCTCCTGGATTTTAGAGATGAATTCGCGGGCTTTTTCTATCGTACTGTTGCAATTAAAATGAGTAACTTAATAAATAGATTTACGTAACACTGTGGGCTCGCAATAGTTATGCCGATTCTAAAAAGGTTTACTAAGTAACAAACCTCGTGGCATTATCATCAGTTTCATTTGATGAAATTTCGAGAACAGCTTCAATGTATGCCAGATAGCTTAACCAATCGTCATTGCTAAAAGTAAGATAAAATGAAGAAATGATTTGTTTCATTATTGATATAGAAACAAAGATTCATCTAAAGTCATCAAATTATGTTCCAACAAAAAAAAAGGGTAAGACTAAGAAAAAAGAAGAACATACTTTACAGTACTCACAGCCTCCTCTGATATAAATAGAAGCTTTTCCCAGGCCTTTTCTTTTCTCAACACTGTATTTTTGATCGATTTAATCTCAATGTCATTTTGGAATTTCTGACCAAGCTCTCCTTCAAGAATTTCGAGGACTTCCTTTGTCTTGTCTTGTCTTATGAGACTGACCAAATACAAGTAAAATTCTGTTTATTACAGGCAGTAAGTATTTAACATAAATATCATAACAGCCATAAGAAGGCGTGCATAATCGAGATTGCATGTGATAGCAATTGTCTGATCAAATGGGAAAATCGACCTTCAGAAGTAGTCAATCGTTTCTCTTCAATAGCCTTTGCAATCATTCGCTCTGACAATGATAGTAAGAGATCTTTTTGCTGAGCCTCGGCTTCATCTGCCTATTCAAAATTTGTCTAGATCGTTATAAAAGACTTGACACTTTATACTAGAATTACACGAAAAAAAATAGGTCTAAAATGATAACATAACAGCGGATGTACCTGCAGTAGAATACTAGTAGCCGCCCAAAAATAGTATCTGTTTGATTTAAACGTCTTATAGAGTTTTAAAGCCGCCTTCGGTTGGAATAGAAAAATTGTAGATTTATTAGAACGTGTAACATAATGAAAACGCGTTTACTGTGAGGTCACACTTAAAGTTACCTGTTGCTGCCCTCTGTAGTCGTGTATTCTAACTAAAGCTATAAACCAATGATATCCGAATTCTTCGCTGTTCGGTTTTTGTTTTAACGCAGTCTGGTAGAGTTCCACAACATCTTGTTCTAATAGAATATTTCAGATCGTCCCAGATCCGATGGAAAAAACAAAAACAAAAACAAAGGACCAGTTCAATTATATGCCTAATTATTGTCAGATTGTCATAAATAATTCGATCCTCATATTATAGCACTCAATTCTTGCCACCTTCCCCAACGCACGTTTGTCAGCTGATCGATACACCAATGAAAGAGCTTGCAGAACAGCTTCGTCAACCGGTTTCAGTGCCTTGATTTGAGCGCATAATTCAATTGCCTCGTCTGTCTTCCCAGTCTTTTCTAATGCTAAGGCTTTCAAAGCCTAAAGCATTAAACCAAAATAGGGAGGGGAAACCGACTAGTAAAATAGCACGTATCCTGGTCAAGACTTTTTTTAAATAAGGAAAGCGGAAATACCTTGACAACTAGTAAGTCCGGTTGTTTTTTAAGGAGTTTGCTGCACCTCTGGAGAGCGCCTTTGTAATTGGCCGCGTCGAGGGCCTCTACATATGAATGATTAGCATTTCTAATAAGCCTAACACCAACACGATATATAGAACGATATCCAATTTAGAACAATGGATAAATTACCGTAGATAGGTCGATACCGACGCTCGTTGACTTCAGTATTAGCGGACATTCAGATAAGAAAATTTCGGGAGAAATGGTTTTTTTTACATAGTAATAGATGCAATCAATAATTTCTGATTGTCATGTGATGTGATCGACTAGGAAAATTTGACGACAATTAAGTTTCATCTGTGTTGGCCACTTGTGTTTGATTTTTAAACTGTGGATATAAATATAATGCAGGAACTACAAGAGCGCTCACCATCAGATTTTCTCGGGGAAGCTATTGGGAGGAGAGTTCTTGTAAAGTTGAACTCGGGTGTTGAATATCGAGGTGAGGGAAGCTGATTATGGATTTGATTATAACTGGACATTACTAGAAGTAAACCCGTTCTCTGCGTTTGTAGGCATACTATCGTGTCTCGATGGGTATATGAACATTGCGCTTGAGCAGACAGAAGAATGGGTCAATGGTCAACTTAAGAATAAGTACGGAGATGCCTTTATTCGTGGCAATAATGGTAACTATTCCAATGAAAGTACTGTTTATGAGCTTGTATGATATTACTCCATCTCATTAATTCTTTTTTCGTCAGTATTATATATAAGTGCAAATCAAAGTCGTAATACTTTGTAATACTTAGCTGCTAATAAATAATCACAGTATGGAAAGAACCGAAGCTCGATCGATGTAATAGCTACTCCTTTAAGCTAGTCATCGCTTATGAGTAAATTGGTTGTTCCTATCGAGATTCATATTTTGTTTGAAGGGACGTTTATCAGTTCATTTTACAATTAATTTTGATGAGATAAAAGTATTTGATACCATAATGAGATCTTAATGCCTTCTTATCATTCAAAGCTCATGTAGAACTTTCTATTTAAACTATCTTGAATTATGGCAAACATGCTCTTACTATTACAATTAAGATATCTTTTAATCTTAATATTCACTGTTCAAACTGTTCAATCATAATTCAATAGAAATTGATTTGTGAGTTCTCCTTATGAATCATTATTGGACAATTTTTGGTCTCTTTACTCTTGGTCTCTTGTTCCATCACATGACTTTTTGGTTACTGCGGACATCTTCGGATAATAATAATGATCAAGCTGATTGACGCGTGTCTTGACAATAAAAAGATAATATTATGAGATGTAATAATAGTCGCCCCCACAATTCATCACACACAATCATAACTATTGTGTCCAAACCGATTTGAATGCAATTAACTCTTTAGTACGTGAATAGATATGGAAGTATTCACAAAAACATTATTATTAGCAATCACAGGATATTTCTATTGTATTATTCTGTATACCCTAAACCAGTTACAATAAAACCGTGAGACTATTTATTCATCGAATGTGATACAAATAACGGGTGACATGCGAGTGTAACAATTTTGAAAGTATTCCTCTAACACTTTTTATACTATGGAACAAAGAGCGCGAACCCCATGCCAACATGTGAACAGCCTTTTGACTGTCAATTTACCTTTAGCAAAGATAGACTCAGCAGCCTTCAAGGTACTATTTAGTTTCAGAAAACTGACTGAATAGTAGCGGCAACCTATTTAATAGCTAACCACAGAATTCACTTGTCAGAAACAACTTACCAGTGCCTCGCTTCATTGTGATCTGTGCGATACAAAAATGCCGAGACTATGGATTTGCTTGCACGTAAGCGGACATGAAAGACTGACTTTGGCAAACTTAATTGAACATTACAGCTATTTTTACATACCAAATCTAACATAAATTTTATAGAGTAATTGCCGGGCCATAATATGTAATACCAGCTCGCACGCACACGTACTTAAGCATTTTGACACGTATAAGGTACGTGTACCATGTTGTCTCTTTCTTGCAAATTGTCTTTTCGCGTCGCTAATCGTCCATTCAATTAGGATTCGACAGAAAATGGATATCATTCTGTTTACATCAACCCGCGGGCATTGACGATTTGGTGCTACGAGTGCGGAAGAGAGCTAAACCCGCTCGATAAGTCTGAATTGCTTTCTCCTGACGTACGGACTTATTTGAGAACCGTAATAAGAAGTCTGGTAAGTGAATGGGCGAATTGTTAAACTTGTAGATACGTTAACAAAGAGTTGCGACTTTTGGGAAAGATTTCGATATGGGACAATGGGTTGTCGAAACGTCGCTTACTGGAATGTTTACACGTTTGATATAGCAAGGAAAACGTAACAAGTCCCCAGAGCAACCATTTGTCGATGTTCCTGGTAAGTTTTATTTACGCAATATCATTATGGTTTATATGATTGATGAGTAGTCTTGGTGACATTGAACATTGCTATGAAGGATTAGTAGGCTTGAAGAACTTGGGAAATACCTGTTAGTATGTCATCACTTTCATCGGTGTCTTATACCATGTCTGACAATAAATCAATCAATACGAATCACGCATATCCGTCGCTATGTGGACTAATCGTTTTTACGAAATTTTTCCCCTCCTTCAGTATGAATAGTGCTCTACAGTGTCTCAGCAATACGTGAGTATTTTAGATTGAATCTAATCTTTTGGCGATTTACTACATTTTGCTTACAATATTTTCTATCCTAGACCTGCACTTATAAATTACTTTAATTACTGCGATGCATATATACCGTGCACGCACTCAGCATCAAGGCAGTCGATATGTAAACTATCAGACCACTTTTTAAATTTTGTCAAGGCGATGTGGTCAGGTGTAAGGTTAGTTTGCTGTCTTTGATGTGAAATTTAAGTAATACGAAACTTGAGAAATAGATATATTATGCAATACCTATGCCCGACGATTAACGTATTCGGATCAATTATAGCCCAATATACATACCAATACAGTTGGTCACAGAAATAAAACGAACTTTTGAAGGATTTCAAGGTTACGGACAAGAAGTATGTCATATTACCTAATTGTTTGTTATGTTTCTCCATTGCACTCATAATACTTATCGTCGCCACATATTCTTCACCCTACTATTTTTACGTGCCTATAGGATTCTCAAGAATTCCTCTGCTTTATTCTGGACCGCCTTCATGAAGAGCTTCCTTATCCCCCCTCTTCCATAAGTACATTCTCTGCCGGTTACGCGATAGAGAACGGGCGTAAAAGTCATGGGAACGGCTCACTCTCGCATACCATATCAGATGGTAATCATAGTTCAAAACAAGGGGCAACAAAACGGAGTATTATAAGTGACGTTTTTGAGGGTACCTTGGAAAGTAAAATAAGATGTTTGCATTGTAAAAAAGTAAGATTTGCAATTTGGGAACGAGAAGAGACCTATGGAGCCATACTTTAATTCTGCAACTTTGTAACTGAGTTGAACTGTTTGCTTTGAAACTTAAAGGACTTTGAGAAGGAAGATCGGGTGTGTGAGTTGCTTATTGAGATAGACAAGAAATTCAAATCAAAGAACCAAGAAAGGAATGGAGAGTCATCATCCGCGATTGGATCAATGTTTGGTGCTGTAACCGGACTTGTGGGGTATGCATGGAAAATGTGATAAGCCGTTCTTACATTAACTAGTGGGTCGCTTATTAGCATGTGGGGTCCGTTTTTAGGATAGGAGGAAAAATACTTAGGCTACAAGACTGTCTGAGCGCCTTTACTGCTACTGAGACGCTGATGGGAGACAATCAGTATGAATGTGAGAGCTGTGGTAAGAAAAGAGACGGTCAGAAGACATTGAGGATAAAAACATTGCCAGAAGTAAGGATCAATCGTGAGATTCAGCTTTCAGGCAGAACTCGAAGTTTGAATCTTGGGCGTCTAGCGTTATAATTGATGTTTTTTACCCTATTTTTATGATTCTTCTCTGTGGCAGACACTTTGCATAATGCTAAAGAGATTTCGTCGTGACCAATATTTCTCAAAAATTGGAACTTATGTACAATTTCCTATGGAAGACTTTGACATGAGACCTTTTTGTAAAGAACCAGCAGATCATGAGGAAAAAAACGAGAAAAGTACAGCCTCTACAATTTATGACTTATATGCACTTATACATCATAAAGGGGCATTTGGAGGTGAGTCGAGATTATTTGAAACAGGCTTGATATAGTGTTCGTAATATTAATTGATCCCGTGCATGCTTAGCTGGTCATTACGTTACATATGCCAAGAATCCCATTGACAAGAATTGGTATGAATTTGATGATACTGTAAGTATAACTGAGTAGATGATTCAAGACCACAATGTATTGCTTATTGACTTTATGTCAGTTTGTAACCAGGAAGACGCCTGCTGAGGTAGCAAAAGTAGAGGCATATGTACTGTTCTATCAAAAAAAGAGTCTAGAGAAGCAAGCAGAAAGAGATGAGATACTTACGCAAATAGAAAAAGAGGTAGAGGCTCATCATATATGTGGTGTTCTCTTTATGGCAGTAGTTGTAAAATGGAAACCATTTTATAGAGCGGCTATGGTCAATCACGTCTCATCTCACGGCTTTGGTTTAATAGGTGGCGATTTTTAGAAGCTGTATGTAGACAAACACGTTATTTTATCTTGTCAAAATGAGAGTATTGCTAAAAGGTCTTTTCTGCGATAGCCTGGACCTATAACCAACTACGACTTTATATGTGCACATGGAGGTAACAAATTCAGTTATAAAAAAATGACTAAATTATGAGGAAACAAATTATTAACTTACAGTATTTGCTACAGCTATCAATTTGTTGAAGTACCCAAAACCTCTTAACTTGGTAGTGCGAATACCAGAGAAAGTGTACAACAGATTTGTAATGTATTACGGTCATGATGATAGTCCATCAATTACTGAGGCAGACCTACAGTCTGGGTGTCCGGTATGTGAGGTAAGTAAATTTAGGCATTCTACAGCGTTTAATAAGATATCGCGACTGGTATGTAATGCTGTAGTTATTTTAGCAAGAGGCGAGGTTAATCGATGAGCGGCGCAAACGTGAACAAATGGACATTGCGTCTATCGATACAAATGAAATTGGACCGGGGGAATATTGGTTTTTAATAAGTTCGACTTGGTTAGCTTCTTGGCATGCATTTAAAGCAGGAGGTAAGCATTACGAAGTGTATCCCATGATTTCGATATAGTTTGATCTCATGAATACACGTTTTGTGTGGTATTAAAAGGAATGTGGTATTTCAAATCACATTTGTGATTTCACTGGTTATATGACATACAATGAATTCCCTTGACCGAGTTCATTCTCTGCAACTTTCCGTGTTTAATCGTAGGTCCAATACCTGGTCCGATTGATAATACCAGATTCTTGAACGCAAACGGCACACCTAAGCCCCATATGCAAAGAAGTAGGAACAATATATTGAAATCTCGTGTTATAAATAATATGGCAAAGATGGTTTCTAGATCCGTTTTTTTTTTTTACTTCTTTAGGCGTTCATTATCGAGGAGTAAACGAGCGTGTTTGGCGTTATTTTTATCGAATATACGGCGGAGGACCGATATGTGTCCGAGGTAGGGCGATGATATAATTATAACATTGTCTTGATTTTTTAAATAATATTACTAACACAAGATGAAAATTTTAATCTAGCTGTACTGGATTTATATTCTCAGCCGTATTACCCTCCCCAGCCAGCCGATAGACAATCAGACTCTTCAAATAGACCTCGGTCATTTTATTAACATGTATTTTATGTAAAGTTTAATGCAAAGGGTGGTTGGAGATAATTATACCAAACGATAGCTTAATTTAAAATCCATCAATCATTATTTTGAATTTTCAACGAGCAGTCTCGCTATGATCGAGCAGCAATTGTTTGTTTTTTTTTCGATTGCAGTTTGTTGAGACGGAAAGTCCAAACGGGACCTCTTGTACAGGACTGAACATGCAATTGTTCTGATAAAATACCAAATTATAATGATGGTGCTGCTAACAGAGAACATAAAACTGCAAAAAATAAAGGACAACATTTGTTATCTAATGAGAAGTCCACGCACGAAATTTGAAGGTGGTGGTGCGGACATTTCACTATAGTTTAATAGTCTCTTTTTTTTTTATAGAAGGCTTAATGGAATTATTCTCTTTCCGCATTATGATTGATTCATTATTAAAGGGCTTTCTTGTCTCTTTCAATAGTTTATCTACTTCCAGTCAATGGCTTGGAATTTATTTTTAACAGGCAATAAGCGTTAAGATGTCAATTTGATGATAAACAAACGATATCCTATCCAAAGAATATGACTTACTTTTTAGCCGTGAAAGACAGTCAAAATTATCGCAACTAAAGACGGATAGAAAACCACTAGCTCACGGTCACGCTAATTATTACACGACTACGTCCAAGGAAAATCGTGAAATTTTCGATCGCTATTATTCTGATTTTTTGTCAACAAGAACGCGCGCGTTTTTTATTGACAGTAACGTTTAAAGTCCAAAAGCAGTATCAATAAATTAAACATCATAAGGATTTTCCTTCCTATTTTTACCACCTTTCCCCTTCTTGTGATGTCTTTTCCCCAAGTCTTTTGCTGTTGCTTGTGTCGTATTCGTCAAGACACTTCCATCGTTTGCGATTCTTCCATATATTGGATACGCATCACCTCTGGTGAATTCTCTTTGCCCGAAACTACGCCCTTTTGCATGCGCTCCAGCCGCTGCTGTACTAAAAAAGCTCTTATCTAGGGCCGTTGTTTTATCACTCGTTTGAGCAAGCGTGCTTGATCTAGCAGAATTGGCGACAGTCAATTCAGATTGCTGAACTGTAGTGTCTTTCCGAGATTTGGAGTATAGTTGAGGATCATGAAGCTCGCTGTTAAATTCTTCTGGTGTTATATCTATTGGAGGTGGTTGACAATATGGAAGTTTGCCCTGGTAAAGTGTATTGCCAAATTCAAGTCAGAGAAAAAGAAAGCAGGAATAAAAAAGGCACAATCAGCAAGAAGAACAGCACCAAAGGACAGTAGCGACAAAAATTAAAGTTAAAATGCGTACATTCACATAATCCTTTAAAATATAGCGTGCCGCCCGTGCTTCATCCGGAGCTCCATATCCAGAAGTTGTTAATCCCCTTGCAACTGCAGTGTATTATCACGTTATTTATCTCATTTTGAAACATCATATAACTCATCATTATCAAGTTTTAGTAATTTACCGGCGTATGCACTTAATAATTCTTCAGCAGTCGGTATATTGTCTCCACCCTCCTCTTCACTCCTCGTCTTTATCGTTATCCCATATATCGGTTGTAAAATTTCCTTTGGTATTCTCCTCGCAACCAAAGCAGCTGGTCCAGTATGTTCTCTCATCTGATCAATCGGCAGGACGCCATTACAAACCATTTCAGCATTAGTGGTGGCAAAATTGGGAAATACTAAACCGGGACAGTCGCAAAGGACAAGAGACGACGTAAGGTGAATTGTTTGAAAATGCTTGGTTCTTCCAGGGGTTGCGGAAACTGAGACTCGTTTCTCGCCGAGAAGTGAGTTGATCGTGGAGGACTTTCCAACGTTGGGATAACCAACTAGACCTATTGTGGCCTTCTCCGAATTGGCTTTATTTGGTCAGAGTCAATGAACGTTAGTAAATGAATATTCACGTATATGATAAATATTCAATAGCATTATTGAAAAATTACACACTTAAAAATTCTTTGACTTCAGACGACAATAAAGAAATCAGATCAGAAGTGTCGCAGATATGAACTTCTTTTTGTAAAAACATTAACTGCTCTTGTTCCTGCTTATGCTCATCCTGTTCCTGCTTATGCTCCTCCTGTTCCTGTTCCTGTTCCTGTTCCTGTTCCTGTTCCTGTTCCTGTTCCTCCTGTTCCTCTTGTTCCTCCTCCTCTTCGTTTAACTTCTCTTTTGCCATTAATGCCGAAAAGAATGTATATCTTATTCCTTGTGAATCGAGGTAATCAGCCCATATTCGTCTAAAAAATATCAAGTAAGAATTCCAAATTAAATAAATGTTCTCTTAAAAAGATCTACGCTACCTCTGTTCGGCAGTTAGCAAGTCGGCTTTGTTGATTAATAATAAATTCTTCTTTTTCTCGTCAACCTCTTTCACGTATCTTTCCAAATCACTTGATCTGAAAAATAATGGATTTCGCGCATCGACTATTTGAACGACCAAGTCTGATCGTTCAATCACTCTCCATAATTGGCGCCATACTTCAATATTTCGCTCAAATGGGGTAAGAAGGAAGTCTTCCTTTTCTTGTAGACTGTAACGCCCAGACCAAAAAGTCAACCATTATGTTGAGAGCAAAAAAAAAAGCTGTCAATTCAAAATTTTAAATTATAATAAGACTTACTACGCTAGACTCCTTCGCCAATTCAGAAATGCTTCCCTTTCGTCAATCTCTAGCTGTTCTGCTGTTGTCGACTTGGTCCATTTCGGCCTGACAATATACGTAAGTTGGATTATTCCTTTCTTTTTTATTAAATTTGCAACCATTTTACTACCTTCTCGGTATTGTTAGTTTGTCTCTGTTCTCCTCGTGCCTCGTAATAACTTCTTTCTCCTTATCAGCAGTTAGGAGAAACGGATTTTGATATGTATTTGTGACGATTTTAATGTTCTGGCGTTCTAAGATTGAGTCGATACGAAGACGATTAATACAACAATTACGGGTTCATCTTCGGACACGCTGATTGACGCCATGCTATATACCGGCAGCAAATGAATGGCCAGCTAATTGGGCCGTATCCAAGAATTCATCGAGATCTCTCTGTTGAGTGACTGATTGTAATTTAGTCCAGCTTGATCCATCGTTTAGGTCTGTGGTATGCTATTTGGAATGAGAATTGTGTAATATACGATTTAACACGTCTAATGACAGAAATACCAAAGTTGTATCTCCATCACGTGGGCGAGTGCCATTTTTAAAACGGTCGCGAATGATAGCTCTTCCGAGACCCGAGTTTTTCTTTGATTTCGTAAATGGCATTGATTTGACGGTAAAATAAAATAAAAACGCTGATTTAAAATTGATATTGCGAACATATTATAAGATTTCCAACCAATGAGAATATAGATCATAACCATATTTGGCAGTCGATTCTGCCGGTTACTATTACGTAATCCAGTGTATCATTTCTTACGTAATTATATTCGCGGATAATGTTTATCAACGTCTTAGAATGAGTTTCTATGACCTTCTTTCATGTTATATGTAAATTACTATTTTTAATTATATTATGTACGTAATATACACCTCGCCAATATCAAAATAAATATAAATTGTATTCTAAACGTCAAATTAAATTTCTGATACACAGTTGTAACATATAACTATAAATGCGATACGAGGTTTTCATGGTATCTAACAATTGCAGCAGGATAACGATATAAAAGTAAACAATTTATTGGTTTTAGGATTAAGAGAATTAAATTGGGAAATTGAGAAGAAGCGAGCGAATTCTTCAACACAAACGAGCATGGATATTTATGGTTTCCATCTGACGATTCGCTTCTACAGTGAACTCTCCATAATTATAACCCCCATAATAATAAGCTTCTAAATGCAATTTTTTTTCTCGGTCCTAGCATCCCTATCTAATAGATGTATTTCTCTAAATTTGATTAACGTGATTACATACATACCAATATGTAACATATATTAAAAAATCATGACCGTATAACAGGAATATTGAATTGTTCCAGACTGAAGTTAATAAAGAACATCATGCTAACATTTGGCCCCGAGGGCTTGCATTTATAGAGAGTTTACTGTATATTTATTTTTATTGTCATTTATTTATTCTATATAAATAATATAAAATAAATTAGCCAGGCGGGTTTCGATAAGTCGGTCTACCGTGCCAACCACCGTGATCGATTTATCGAGTTTGCTTCCCTGCCAAAAGTCTCCGGAATCCCTGTCGATTAAATAGTAAAACATATGAAAAATTTTTATTTTCGAAAGTCATTATTATCTGTGTTTCTTATACAAGTAACAATGATTTTGGTATCGTGTTGAAGCCAAATGATTGTACTTGTCGAAAATAATAATGATACATTAAAATACATTCTATGGCAACGCGGACAATTCGACGAAGTGATAGTAGAATGTTACACCAAACAATAAAACTATATGAACGATATGACACATGTATAATTGTATATTCCTATACACTGCAACTTCATTGAACTACCGCTTTATAGAAATACTGCCCCACACAACATCATTATTTCGACAAGTACAATCAATCAGCTTCAAAATACCAAAATCATTGTTCTTTACAGAAACTTGCATTTTTTAAAAATGTCTCGATGAGATTTGCAGGACGTTGTGCTGATAACCACGTGACATTTACAATCAGAAAATATTGCAAACATCTCGTCGTGATGTCACCAACAAATTGCTAAATTTCTATTAGTATCCTGGCGATCTTGTCACGAGATTCTGCTAGATTGTTCAACTTCGTAAAATTTCCATGCATCCCCAAAATCTCGTGGGCACATCTTCACGAGCCTATTAATTTAATGGGCTACGAGGAGAAATTAAACTCCAAGCCGACACGGAGAAAGGCATCTCCCCAATAAGTCTTACCTATGCCTTGGTGCTAGGTCTATTCGATACACTAAAATTAGAATCCTCATGGCGATCTCATTACATGATGCCTGTTAGACAGTGGTGACCTTATTCTGATATCACAGAGAGATTTATAAAAACTGCAGGTTTCTGTAAAGTTACTTGCATAGTAAATACAAATAATAATGACTTTCGAAAATAAAGAGTTTTACTATTTAGGGTATGCTGCAACAAAACCGGACAAAGTGAACGTTTGACTATGTGAGCTAAGTTGAAAGATCAACTTGAGTGATTGATACCATTTTGGGAAGACTTGTTTTGGCAGCATAGTTTTGGCTTACAACTCATGTACAACCTATGGATTAATTTTTCATAACGATTACCTCTATCTACAGAATATAAATATGAAACTAATTTACATTAAATCCACCATGGATCCCAAAAATTAGAAGCAAGGAAAAATTGATCCATACGTTTTTAAAATAAATGGCACCAAATTCTCGATCGAGGAATATCTAGATAAAGAAAAAATCACTTATGAGATTATCAAGAAGAACGAAAAATAAAATCCAATAAACGAGCATTAACACCACCTTATGATGAACCAAGAAAGAAACGAAAAATTGAAGCAAAGAATCTAAACAATTATTTCTTTTTATCAAGAGTATTATGAGCTACCATTTGATGAGGAGCAAGAACAGTATTAGTATAAAAGTTAAAGAGTCATCCTTTGCTATTTTTAGAATTCTATATTCTAATCTCATATAATTTACTTATTATTTTGAATAATAAAAGTTTGGAATTTCTCCTTAGTCTTTTCTTTGGCTTTGCTTACTAATTTTTTGAGTTTGCATAATTATAACCTATTTTCTTTCTGTTTTTTAGATAAAACTGGTAATTGACATTTCTACCAGGACTCGGCAATCCATGTATTTCAGCATAAAATTCTTCACGGCGGTAGCAACGGTTATATCAATGGTTATTTTGGTTTTCCATCGTGTCACTTTTTTTACATTACCATAAACGCGCGGTATTATACCATTCGTCGGCAGGTGTGATTTCAAAGTGAGTGCAACCGATTCCTAACATATTGAGATACATTTTCTGACAAAGAGGTGTATTGCGATCTCAGTAGTAAAACGGTCGCATATTAGTACGCGTTTTCTTTTTAAGACGTCGGCTGGCAGTTATTTCTCCACCATTTATGGGCCATTAAAAGTATATCTTGTTCGGATCTAGAGAGGCTTGAAACGCCTCACGTAATTCGGCAAATTTGCCTCTCGAAATCATTTTCGAGCAGCCACAATTACAACCTATCTCTAAGAAACGTATTGCTTTTTCGTATTCAGTCGAACCATTATAATTATAATTTTCCATATACGGGTAATCCTATATATATTGTTTTGCAATTTTTCTGTGCTTCATATGCTTTCTTTGTGTCTACTTGTTTGAACTTGGCTGACTCTTTTATACAGTAACATTTATTTCACATGTAATTTCTATGGCATATGCTAGAAAGTCAATTAAGCATGTGATGCATTTATTTCAATATTTATTGTGTAAAACAAACAAACGAACAATAAGCTTGCATATTCTTAGCTAATCTACTCAAGTATAAGATCATCTATCATATCACTTAAACAGTATTTCATCTCAATTTTTTCTTCAAGTTGTTTTTCTCTATCAGTACTGAAAGTTGCCATTCCAAAATCAATAAGGAATATTCTCTTCCCATCATCACAAAGAATGATATTTTCTTTTCTGATATCGTTATGAAGCACACCGCGTTTATGGATTTCATCCAATGCTTTATAAGCCTTCTGCTCTTGCATTCTGGTAATAGTCTTGAATTTCTCCAACGATTTACCAACAAAAGTCGTTCCTATAGCAAAGTATGGTGTATTCAATAGATAACCGTAGCATACCAATTTTGGTATACATATTCCCTGGATGTCCTTGAGAATGCAATAGACCTCCAGCTCCTGCATCAATTCAGGTAGAAGACCTTTTTTCTTCGATAAATCAGTAACTTTTAAGGCTAGATCATAACCCTGAAAATCACATCGGAACGTTTTCCCACATCTTCCATAACCTAGATAAGTCTTATTGCTAAAATCGCTTTGTTGAAAATTTTGAAATTGGCCCGATGATGATTGTTGTGTCATTAAAGAATATGATTGTGACTCCCCTAGAGGTTGTTGGTTTTGACTTCTATTAGCTGAACGAGTGAGGTATCCGGACTGAGGTATAGTGTTTGGTATAGATATAAGGTTAGGATTCGGAAGACAATGATTTTGTTTCGCCCGTAGGGCTAGATAAGCATATGCTTTTAACACCGTCGGATTATTATTGTTAAAAGATAGAGCCTCTGAAATCAATATTTGATCGTGATTATCTCCTTCTCTCTGAAGAAACCAATTGTGATCGTATGTTGTAATTATTCCATATAAAAGATTATTCTCGACCATATAGCTAAATGCTTGTGAGATGACACATTTCCCTCTCGAATGATTCTGAAAAAATTCCACAGATGAATCCCTACCAATATAAATAGGCAAACCACTTTTTTTCTTGACTTCGATTACAAGAATGGTAGTACTTTCTCTTTTTGCAACAAAGTCTGATAAACCCGGACCGTCCATGTCTGAACCGGAAGGTGACCTGAACACAATACCGTCGTTTCTCAAGACAACGTTCAGATTAAATAAAACGTTCGTCTGTAAAGCGTTCTGAACATCAGTTTCGCGAACCACATAAGCCATGTCTACGAAAGCAGGCTTATTGTATTTTGCTTCTTTTTCAAAGTCAAAATTATTAACTTCCGTGAAATAATCGATCCATGAAGATATTATTTTGGGTCCATCAAAACCTTTGTGTGTTGTATTCGAACTTAATTGTTCAATATAGCGTATAGGTGGTAGAATTTCCGACAGAAACTGATCTTGGCTTATTAATGCTGTAATGAAGAGGATATTAGTCGATAAATCAAGAGATAAAATAAAAATGTGATGGAAACGAAAACTGTCCCAACAATGGGATGTATGAATGACTCTCAATAAGCGTGATACCCCCTATGACCCTAATATGTGTAGGAGACCAAACATATAATGCATGCAACAACAGCATTCGAACTATTCTCTATTAAAACCGTACGTACCATGTGTATATTTTAGGTACAGAATCATGAACAAAGCTATATTAATATGTTGTAACGGTTTCCTAATACAACTAATACGTGTATTACAGCCCATACTCAGCTTGCCGATCAATTAGTAAACATATTAAAAATCTTTTCTCTCTTGTGCGTTTTTACTATGTAATCGCAATGATTTTTGTACCGTTTTGAAACTAATCGGTTGTGTTTTTCGAAAAAAATGGTGATGTATTCAGTCCTGTTATCGTTCTAAAGTTCCGGTCCGCGGTATCTATACATTTTCATACGTGTAACATACATGTTATCACTTCATCGAACAGCTGCTTTAGTACGATAACGGAACTGAACATATCACTATTTTTTTCGAAAAATACAATCAATTAGCTTCACAACGGTACCTAAATCATTGTGATTCACATAGTAAATACGTACAATCGAGATTTTAGAATAAAAAAAAAAGATTTTTCATATGTTTTATTAATTGATCGGCAAGGTACACACTACTCTACGTCCCAACGCCCGAGTCACAAAGTCGTTACCTGTCTGAGCTCTCGTTTGGCGCAGATCTTCTGAAAGATTCGCCCACATGTTTCTGCACTGCGTCACGGCGTCCCGCAATTCCTGGTCTTTCTTCTTCAAGTCATCCAGCCATTGCCTCTCTCTGCCATCAATGGTTCGTTTCGTCTCTTTTTCCGTCAACTCGGTCAGCATTTTTCCTCCATACTTCCCGTTCTGAAACCTCTCCAACGCCACATTCGCCTTGTTCAGCTCCACTGCCGACTTCTGTAACGCTTGTTCAAGTTTTTCAATAGTCGTCATGGTTTCTCTTAGAAAGTTGATATTAATTAACTATTATAATTAAATACTTTGTTCACGTGATGTGACTAAAAAGGATATACAGTCGAACCCCGTTATAACGAAATGCGTTATTATTATAACGAATTTTTGTTATACCGAAGCAGTGTTCCTCCCCCCTTTTTTTTCAATATTTAAATTTGATCGTTATTACGAATTTTAATAGTAAACCTCGTTATTCCGTTACCGAAGTTTGGTTGCAGGATTTTGTATGATAACTACCGTATTTCACGGACTAAAGTACTCCCCCCCCCTAGCATAATACCATCAATGGAATGTAAAATACCATGGTACTATGATCGGGTTGTTACACGAAATACTTGTAAAGTACCATGGTACAGCGCTTATTATTAAACGTGCTTATTATATCACCATGTATTCCTCTCTAAAACACCAAGAACGACGCTGTTTACATGTAATACGTGTCTTTCGAATTATTTTTCTCATATTAAAGCAAGCAAAATGTTGCAAATTTTATTCGTGTTTCGTAAGATGCATTTACATAGTCCTATCATAGTATTCCCCCCTAGTATACACTATCCGATCAAAGTGTATAGTATCCCATGGTATAACAGGGTTCTGTAAAATACCACTGGTACTTCAGTCCGTGAAATACGGTAGTCTCTGGGTCCGTATTATTTCATCGACAATCATTTCGTCGACAGTACATTTCACCGACAATTAACTACCAAAAAAGGATAACTTCGATATAATGTTGGTGAAGATTTGTCGGTGAAATGATTGTCGGTGAAATGATTGTCGACGAAATGATTGCATCCCGTAGTCTCTTTATAACGAAGTTGATCACGGGATAAAAATTTAAACATGGTGATTGGTTGTAGCAATTAGAAATTTGTCATACGATACAGTGATTGGTAAGTTAATCATGTAAAACGTATCATTTTTTCTTCATTGACGCATCGAACAATTCTAAGTAATGTTGACTTTGCATTGTCTAATAAAGGTAAGGTCTCTCAAATGAATCTCCGATACATAAATATTCTAATTTGAGTGATCCGTAGAAATCATTATATTTTTTGTTTTCTCCTGTTTTTGCAACTAATAAACATTGTTTACGAAAGTCTCAATATACCGAATATTACTTATCATAAAACCGGTTGGTTCCAACAAAAATGTGACTACATGGGAGCTGTGACTATATAAGAGGTGCTTATAAAGGGGTACGACTGTATATTCACAAGCGAATTCTTTTATTGGCTTCGTTCTCAGCCTGTTGCTAATTCAAACGATGAAGTTGCAACCCATAACAAAACTGTCGGCGACGAACAAAATTTACTTGCCAGAAATCGAAAAGTTGTGGAATAACCTGATATAACCATACGACAAAAAAAAATCAAAAATTTCATTTAGCAAAATGGCATTTGAAATTTATAATAATAAGTGCTCAATAAACAAAGGCCACCGCTGCATCAACAGAAATTTTTATCTTCGACGAACAACCCACGGGAAAAGACTATTGAGGCAATTCAACGTTGGATTGATGAAGAAAAAAAGGAAAACATAAACCACTCAGATAGGAAAAATAAAAACGAAGAAATAGATAATAATGATAATATCATAATAATAGTAATAGTAAGGAAGATAATGAAATTTAGATTTGCCAAAGAATAGGTTATACTCATGGGTCCGAGTATGTAATTACTCTGGTGCTTTTATATTTTCAAGTGAGATCGCATTCTATAATTAAGATTATAAAATTATTGTTACGTTATTCGACTCTTTTGTTACAATTGCATCATAGTGAAACGCGAATCAAGACTCAATGAATGCGCTCAAGTCAACAAGTTGAAAACTATAAGAAACAATCTTTCGTTGATAGGTCGCTCAGTCAGTGGAGGCCTTAAAATGCTTCTAATTGCATTGTAATTCTTTGGTTCCATAGTGGATTTGATATAAATTAGTTTCATATTTTTTATTTTTTATATAGAGATACCCCTATTAAGCATGTTATAACTTCAAGTAAAAAATTTTATGATTAGGTTTAAAAATGCAATGAAAAATTAGTCCATAGGTTGTGTGCCACTAAACTAAAAAAGCCTTCCCAAAATTTCGGCAGCCACATCAGCCATTTTTAGCCCACATATTCAAATGCACTTTGTCTGGTTTTGTTGCAGCATGCCGCATTTGAGAGCTTGGTTGTTTGGGTGGGTCTGTTGGCATGTTGCAGTCTGCGCCTTACTGTGGACTGTCAGCGGTTTTCTTCGCGAGGCGGCTGCGCTCCCTCACCACGACAATAGGGCCCTGTAGTGTCGATGCTTAGTGATGAGGCCACCGATTTAGCTAACTTTATTATACTACTTAAGTACCAATCAAATAATTCTGTAGTAAATAGCAAAATCGGCTATTTACACTCTCACCATGCTTAACAATACAGTTAGCTTTATATTTTCATTGGATAACCTCCAAACACGCGTTCTTGGAACAAGTACCGTATACTACCGTAAATAAGCACCAATCGTGAATAAGCGCCTCCTCCTATAAGTAAAATTTCGATCGTGATTAAGCACCCCCAATATTACCTAGATTAACTGCATGACGTACCCCCACCACAGTTCATTACAATCAGAAAATTTTATTTCACCACATAACACAAATAACAGTACGCTTCTGGTACTGCAATTACTGTTGTTGTGGATTATACTTTACGTAATGATACACCGATCATTTTAATAATAATAATGATAAGAGTTGACGATCGTATGATAAGGGTGGGTGCTTATTCACGGCAGTATACGGTAAATCTCGATTCATCACTCCAAATAATTTTTCTCCAATTTTCAGCTGTCCAATGACTCTTAGATTTAGCCCAATTCAATCGGCTTGGATCAGAATATATGTATTTAGGTCTATTAAATAATTTAACTTTCTATGTATAACTTTATCAAACAAGTCAATTTAATTGCTAATTTAGCGATTGTTGTACGCTTTTTATTTTGGTAGGGTATGAATCCGGAGGGAAGACATCTTTGATTTACAAGCACTAGACGATTTCCATATTAATCACCAGCGTGACATGGCCAGTGGCATTCGATGATACGCCAGTTAATTCTCTCGAATGGTAGGATCTCGAGCTAGTTTCTTCAAGCTTGACGACATAAAAATTATGTTTACAATAAACAGCGGGTCAATGTATTTATTTCAGGCACGCCAACTAAGGGATAAAATTGGTGTTCTGGCGCTTGCTCTCAGAGACCGTTTTAGTCCAAAATTTGGACCATAAACAACGCATTCTCATTCACGAGTGAATCATTGCTAATCTGAGGTAATTGAATCTCTATTTCACGTGCAAATTCATTGCGATAACGTCATAACTACACGTAATTCAGTTAAGAGTGTGATGCAAAGGACAGGATCGACAACTCAAATATGGCGAATGCTACGAATGCCCAATCTAGATATAATGTGTTGTAGTGTTGACACAGTCCATTGCTTAGTCTTCCTATGAAATTTATAATATTATACACGTCTGCAGCGAAAACAATTTTTTATAGGAAATAGGGCGCATCCAACCCTCGCAGTAGCAAGTATAAATACTTCTGCTTCCTCTCCTTATGTGTGCTAACAAAAGAAATATTTATTAAAAGCATTAAATGGTTCAGCATATTAATAACAATCAGCAATTCTTAATTGTTAGAGGGAAATATCTTTAAGGAGACTGGAACGTAAGATCATGATATTCGTTTCGATGTGTAATCCGCATGGCGAGCAAAAACTTGTAATATTATTCCCGTATGCAAATATGTATTATATATCGCTCGTGGAATATAATGATAAATATCACTATTTACACGTTAATCCTTATTATTATCGTAATAATATGCTGTATATTCTAATATGGTAAACTAGTCAAAGAGTTATGTTACAGTACGTATTTCATTCCCATATATACAAAATACGATATTGAATTTAACATCTCCTGACATCTTCATACGTACAATCACAAATAAATAAGTTTATTTAATTTGTTCTTGTAAACTCGCATCCCTGAACCCATCCAGAGCTTTCTTTGCACTCCCACTCGTGATGCTTTCTCTAGCTAGTTTAACTCCTTCCTTTAAATCTTTTGCAGTTCCACTAACATACAATGCCGTTGCTGCATTTAACAACACAAAGTCTAAAACTGGACCCTCATACTCATTTGATAATAGCTTCAATAAAGTTTCTGCATTCTCACTAGCTGTACCTCCAGCAACAGAAGAGATTGGATGGGAGGGAAGACCATAGTCCGATGGTGTTACTGTATACTCTTTGATAATGTCATCTTCCAGTTCCCATACCTAAAAAAAAAAGATAAAAGTTGGTATATTTCTATTAACCAAATTAACAGGGGATTTAAAGTACTTACAAAAGTTTCACCTTCCGGGCTAACCTATTAGATCACGAGAATGAAGGGACAATTAGTCATTGCCAATATTATAAACGGTCATCTATCAGTATCTATTTACCTCATCTAACCCAATAGCTCCATGCACTACCATAGCCTTCTTGGCTTGATTCAACCTTAATGCCTCGATGACTAATGGACCAAGACTTTTTGAATACACTCCAATCACTACTCTCTTTGGCCTTGCTGGGTTGACTAACGGCCCTAATAAATTAAATATTGTAGGAATACCCATCTCCCTTCGTGGCTGTGCAACGTGCTTCACAGCAGGATGGAAGGTTTGTGCAAAGAGAAAACAAAAGTTGTTTGAGTTGACTATGTGAGGTACCTCACTAGCGGTGACATTGATTATTTTGCAACCAAGCGATTCCAGGATATCAGCCGATCCACTTGAAGACGAAGCAGCCCTGTTGCCAAACTTTGTTGTTAATAATTTCCATTACGAGATGTATCAAATCCGTTGAATACTTAGTATTAGAATATCAGTTAACATAATCGTATAAAACATAAATTTACCATAAACCTCTTACCTTAGCAACTTTCGCACCTGCACCAGCAATCACAATGGCCGCAGTAGTTGACACATTAAAAGTATTCATACCATCTCCACCCGTCCCCACAACGTCCACCAGTGAATCCTGTAATCCTTCATATTGACTAAAATCCACTTTGACGGCAAACTCGAGCATCGACGCCGCACATGCAGCAACTATTTCGGGTTCGGCATCTTTGTTTAGTATTTTCAATGCGATTAGAAAACAAGCTATCTGAGCTGATGTCGCTCTACCAGCCATTAACTCAACGATTGCTGCCTGCGCATCTGCTGGAGCAAAAGCATTGGGATCATTGACTAACTTTTTAGTTAAACTTTGAATCGTAGGTGACATGATTTTAAGGCTAAACGATGGAGAAACCACTAATTATCAATGTTGATCAGTTCCCCTTTTTTGTCGATTTTGGATAACGTAAGGATATTAATATTAATTCGCCGTATACAGTATTCTCATTATCGTAGATTCTAGTGATTAATAAACTATTTGAGCAATCGGTTTCATGACAAATGATTGTAATAGTAAGTCCAATACGAGCATGGATAAAAGTAAAATCTGAACCAGGCGATTTATCTGGAACGACAATGAGAAATTATAATAATTTATTATGCATTAGTCATTTGGTATTAGTATATGACAAAAGAGCGCAATATAGATTGTCGAGTTTTCTGAAAAAACGAAGTTAGGGCCTTGAAATCCCAACTTTTTTTGGTACCAATGTAGTACAAAATAAATATGAATATTGCTTAAATTTCTATTACTGATGGCCAGGTTTGGATGCTTGCCTTCCCATCGTAATCGCGCATCATTCTTTGTATTCCAAATGCGACTAAATACTGTTACTAATACAACTCAAAAGTACGAGGTCCCAGTAACGCGTAAGAGAGCGCGCGCTCATGTGAAAATAGAAGTTGAGGAAGAGACAAAAACCGAAGACAGGACAGTTATAAAAGATGTAGTAAAGACGATTCAAATTGAGGATGAATCCGAGAAAAAAGTATTATCAAAGAAAATGCGTAAGAAGAGTGATCAGCTGAGTAACGCTATACCTGATAAATGGGAATATATTTATAATAATATCAAAGAGTATCGAAAAAGAGTCACAGCTCCTGTTGATACGATGGGATGTGAGCGGTTAGCTGATGAACCCAGTGAAACTGTCACCGCCGAGGTATTAAATATACGATTTGATGCTAATTCAATACTTGAGACATACTGATATAAGTAACTTGCGGGTTATACGATTGATCCGATGACACCCTCCGTCGTTTCAGACGTCTCGCTTCCAATCTTTAGTAGCATTGATGCTCTCTTCACAAACCAAAGATACAGTTACTGCTGTAGCAATCAAGAATTTGAAACAGAGACTGCCAAACGGACTAATGTTACAGAGTGTATTAGATGCTGACGAGGAGTTTATTGACGCGTGCATATCCAAGGTTGGATTCCACAAGCGAAAGGCTATGTGAGTTCTGATGAGAAACTGTCAGTGGGCCTGTTAGACATGTACCACTAGCATTTAATGTTAAGAGAATTTTTGTTTACTTAGGTATATAAAGCAAGCAGCTGTTATTTGCCGAGATTTGTACGGAGGGGATATACCAGACACTGTGGAAGGATTGATGAATTTACCTGGAGTAGGACCCAAGATGGTAAGATGCGAAAAAGGACAAGATCTTTATGCCAATTGTTCACTTATCGTAATTATTTTACGCTCTACGCGTAGGCATATCTCTGTATGCAGGTCGCATGGAAAAAGTGAGTACCATCGAACAGAAAGCACATGCTATCTGCACTCTCGTCACATTCAAAGTTTTCTTTATTAAAATGACCCTAGAAATCAAGGAATAGGTGTCGACGTGCATGTACATCGAATAAGCAATCGTCTTGCTTGGTGCAAAACGGAAAAAGGAGGACCGGAAGCAACAAGAAAAGTAAATGATTTGTTATTGCCTTTTGTTTCTGCAGCTTTTAAAAGCATAACAATCTTATAATGACCATCTTTATCATCTTTTACGTTCAAGGCGCTTGAATCATGGCTACCGCAGAGTCTCTGGTCGGAAATAAACCCGCTTTTCGTCGGATTTGGTCAGGTAACGTGTTTGCCACGCAACCCAAGGTGCTGGGAATGTCCGGTAAATATCCGATGAGTTATTGTGGCATGTCAATACAACTATAGTTTGTCAATACTGTGAAGCCAGTATCTGGATACACTGATGACTGTTTCTCATATCAAGGTATCATCTATATGTCCCTCGACCGAGGTCAAGGCAGCAATTGCCAAGGGTAAATTAACGCGTTCCGATTGAAAGAGATGGTTTTTTCCATTTATTGTTGTAAATATGAATAATTCTTCGCATACGACCGACTGCCGAACATAGGACGAACGACTGCATTCCTTGTCATGTCCTCATGTTTGTTTAACGTAAATTTCGTGTTTGAATCAACGACTACAATAAGCGACGGAATGATATTCTGTTAACTAGGTAGAGTGCGATATAGCAAATAAATCTTAAATTTTGGTATAAATAAATATGTTAATTACTACCTTACTAGAGTTTAAGACTCAGGCTGTGTCTTTAGTTATTCACCGTGTTTGCTATTACTAGTGTGCAAGTTGATCTTATTGATATTTGCAACTATCGCTATCGTATTTCGACTGGCTAATAATGGCAATTCCTCTTATAGGATGAAATAGGGATAATTCTACTATGTCTATCATATTGCATCTCCTCCACTGTGAAGTCTAAGTGTGTTATTGATGCATATATGCTAAAGTATCTTAATTGAAATGTTGGGCAACTTCCGTCTCGTGATCAGCATACGCGAAAGTTTTTAGAAAGAGGACTTTGATAGTTCTCAACAATCGTTCTCAAATAATCAACTAAGGGGTGGCAGAATAAGCAAAGCCGAGACAAGGAAACCCAAAGAGAATGTTCTTTAAAGAAGGTAGGAATGTACAAGACTGAGATGCATAGAAAATAATTACGAGGCATGCTTTTTACAGTTCTTATCAAGAATTTGCTCAAGCGCAGAAGCATCAACAAAATAATGACCGGATTAGGACGAAATTCTTAATTAACCAGTCCCAATATATCGAAAATTCTTGACAACGCGAACACAAAAATCTCCCCATTTATCCAAAAATCTTTTAGTGAAACGATAATTCGTTATTGTAGAACAATATCTTCAGTATTTGATCTGTTCTTTAGATCATATCTTCAGCAAGACGTTGCTAATAGGATAGTTCTTTTATTCTAATAAGGTCATATTTAATCATAAACATTTTTATTCCCTGGTAAAGGATACTTGCGTCGTTGGCGAAGTGTAAAACGCTTTCCCCGCCATCGGCGAATAGTATTGATACTTGCCAATCAATTCTATATAATATTTTCGCATCAGGATTATTGTTTAATTATATTAATAGTGTAGAAAGATAATTTCCCCGACCGATAGGTTTCGAGATTAATCCCATCGGGAGAAATCGACGTAATAGTCAATAATTCAGGGACAGCGTATACAAGACCGATAACATACTATAAAACCTAGTTAATGGTCACTAATTGTCGTTAGTATTTAGTTTGAAGTAGGAAGAACAAAGGAAAAGACTAAATCCAAGGCTAGTGCATCGTCGCTCTCCCAGGTGTAAGCTGCTCGACATTGCTAAAGATAAGTTATACGTCTTTTCTGTTCCATCACGAAAAGCTTCTTCCTTTCTCATCAGTCTCAATATCAGCATAATCTCAGCAGGTTTATCATTTATGCTTTTCCAGTATCTTGTAAAAATTTTTATTTTTCCTCTCCCCTTCAAAGATTTGTTTCACTATTACGATGAACTCTTCAATTTGGCCCGATCTCTGTATCGCGTGCACGTATTTCTTATTTTATAAAGCTTGATGCCGCAGGTGGGGTGCACTTTTTGGACTCTGTCACTAACTTGGAGAAATTGACCGAATCGGCCAAGAAGGCCGTCAGAATATTCTCTTGGTTTTCCGAAATATAAATTTCATTTTCCATACCAAAATGGGCAGTTTCTGTGACAGTTACGCGTTATTCCCACAAGCTGTTTAAACTTGGGAGGATCAAGGGTGTTGTGTTTGAATGCTGCTTTGGTTGTCAGCAGACTCGGATTACAAAGCTTATCGTTAAATGATTGTTGGAAGACCTTCTGTACCGTTAGGCATAGAAGTCAATCATATGATCTAGAGAGTCAGAGATTTATTTAAATAAAAGCAACTATTAATAAGCAACATGCTACCACGGGGAGAGACAAGTCTAGGCAATTCTTCAGAGTACATAAACAACTTATAGAAATATGATTATGCGGCAATCACTTACCCATTGTTTGCCCGTGACTGACAAAGAATATGTGACGAAAAAAGTAATGAGAATAAAATGTATCATAATAAAAAAAGTGTCAGCATCACGCGTGCCAGCCTCCCACAAATAGATTATTGTCATATAACGTTGTGATTAAGTGAGGGTTTGGTCATTGTGTGTTGCACTGAACTCGCGATAAGTTCCATAACCTCCAATATCACGCCACAGCTCCAAAATGCATTCCTCTTCTTACAGCCACTCATAAACAAAAAATTGAGTAGCATTTGCCATAAAATACAAGAAACAAAATTGGAATAAGGTCATATTTTCTGATGAAACTACGTTCCAGATGTTTCGAAATACTCAAAAAGTATTTTACAAAATGGCACTCAACCTCCAAGTAAGGCCATGGTAAAACAACCCTATAAAGTTCACGCGTGGGGTGCCTTCTCAGTAAAAGGTCCTGTTGGCTTTTTTATTTTCACAGACATTATGGAGGTATTCTTTATCGTAAGATTTTAACTGAAAATCTTTTTGATAATGCAAATGCTATTATAGGAAACAATTGAATGTTCCAAGCATAAAGCTAAGGAAACCATAGAACTCACGTGTAGTTGTTGAACATAGTAGGTTGAGGCGATGGCTCGATGCTGCTAACCCAGTAACTGCTGACTTGACAATGCATAGCATACTAGCAATATCTTGGTATGCACGCAATGTTCGTGCATCGAGATATAGAATTCTTTGGTTATATTAGGTATGATGTGGTCGAAGAATCACATTCAACAACTGTAGAGCTTCTTCATGCAGCGGTGCCAATTGGCCGTCTAATAGTCCAGATATTAACCCAATCAAAATTTTTAAAAAGCAATCACCAAAGATTCTTTTCGTGAGATAGTCAGAAAGAATGGGATGGGTATGGTAATGTTAAACTATATAGCCATTTGTTTTTATATTAACATATTAAAAATCTCTAATGTATGTATAATAAATACTAGTTTGAATTCGGTACACAG